TTACATATTTTTATTGCTCCTTCACTTTGATGTTTCAACATTTATTGCTTTGTTTAGCATTCTTCTTTTTCAGCTGCAAGCCCTCGTTTGAAGAAATCTTATCAGCTGAATTGACTTTAATGTAACCTGTTTTGTTTCTTATTCAGTTGTTTATCTGTTTCCCTTTGATACTTGATTGAATTACTTAACTTTATTCATTCATTTAGTTACTCATTCTGAACCCTTACCCTGCTCCACACCCTGAGCTAAACACCTGGGGCCCAGATGCCTCTTCTGTCCTCCAGGAGCTGACAGTCAAATACAAGGAGAACGGAAGTGCTAACGAATTTTCCCTCTCCTCCAGCCTTCTAGGGAGGGTCAACTGCTGGATTCTACTTTGTTAAACAGGTTCAAAGTAGAGTGAATCATTATAGGTGCTATGGTAGAAGATGCTCCTGGTACAATTGAGGACCTCACATAGAAGGAGCCTTCTATTTTAGAAAGAAAGGCTCAGAAAATATTTCATCGGGGAAAACAATGTTACAAAGGCTTGGAGCCATGTCATATGTTCCTAATTCTCTGTTCTCTTCCCCCAGAACCTATCAGAGTATCTTAAACATGTTGTCCATTGGGTTTAATTGTGTTTTCCCACATTCACAAGTCTCTTCATTGATTTCCCTGTAGGAGGTCAAATGAGATGTGACCAGAAGCTGTGGCCCAAAGAAGAAAAAAAAGTCTACCAAGATAACAAGAAGTAACTCCTGAAACATGAAATGAAAGTAAGTTTAGAATTAAATAGCCTGGAGCATGGATTCTAAATTTGCCACCTAACAGTTGTATGAACTTGGATGACTGACATAACCTCTTTGATTTTAAGTTTATGTGTCCTGAAAATGAAAGTAGTGATACCAATGCCACAGTGAGATAAAGTACACAACAACCGTGGGCAAAGTTTCTGGAATTTAATTGCTTAAGACTCCATTAAATTTTCGTTTCTTTCTATTGGTTTCAGAAACAGTTCAGAATGTTGTGATCAGTGCTCCTCTCCGTCCTTCTACCTGGCTGATTAACAGAGGGAAGATCTACTTCAGATGGCATCACTTAGAAATTTAGATATTTAAGGCTCAATTAAATGATCCTTTACTTGGTCATTGTTCAGTGCTCACACCTTAGCCCTGAATGCCAGTGACCAATAGCTGGGGTTTGAACTGTCTTTAATTTCAGATCTCAGTGCGGTTTTTAGCGTTGCCTTCAGCAAAGTACACCACTCCATTACCTAACAATAGTGGTAGGGGCAAATGCAGACAACTAGAATTGAACAACAATAAAATCATTAAAAAAAAAGAATTAAAAAATAAGTAAAAATAAAAATGCCTCATCTTTTATTTAAGTAAGATAGTCTTAAAGTCTAAAGGTTTAAGCCTGAAGCTGAGAGTTATCTAAAGTCCCAGAAAGCTTTAAATTTATACAACAATTACTTCTCTGTAGCCATGTGGGCTCTGTTGGTTGATAGGCCAGATAAGGAAAAAGGGAGAAGCGGGGACACAGCATTCTTTCAGGGGTGAGCAATGAGGGGAAGGAAAGTGCACTTCGGAGGTGAGAAGGGCAGAGGGGGGAAGGTGTGTGCAGGAGCTGCTAAGCCGGCCTTTCACAGGATCCTATGAGAAAACTCTTGAGTATATAGACTCACTTGGCTTCTTTGCAATGAGTCAGCTTGATAGCTCTAATGCTCTCTACACCTTGAAATTATTGTTTGTTCTGTGTTTAAATGGGAGATTGAAGTCTGACAAAGTCATTTGGACTAGTCCAGATCTTATACAAAGCAATTGGTTCAGAGCTGTTAGCACAGCAGATTTCTCGGGCCATTGAGAGTTTGATATAGGAGGGGAATTTCCTTGTGATTCTTTCCATTTTAAGCTCCAGACAAACTGCCCTTTCTGGCTTTTATGCTTGTTTCTGTGATTACTTTTTAAGTGTTTCTCAGGAAAGTTTTTCCTCAATTTGGTGCTCACTGTTCCAAGCCTTTTGCCTTGATCCCTCTCTGTTTGCTCTCTGACAGTTTTTTTTATGCACCATCTTTGACAAACCACATCATATGGAGATCTCCTAAATTTCCTGTTTTCCACTCTTCACTCTTTTCTTGGCTGTCTACTCAAACTTCTCCCATCTATTCTTGCAGTAATATTTCACATATTTGTTCTTTCCTTCTAAACAGTTGCCAAAAGATACAGCTGCTTCCTCCTGAGTATTGTCACGATCCACCATCTTATCTACGGGGGGGCAGGGGGGAAGACTTCATTTCCAAATCCTAAATTCCAGTTAGCCAAATAGGAAATGGATAGGGTCCCTAGACATCCACTATTTACTCAACTGTTTTTTTACCTCTTGATTTTACAGCCCCCACTTCTCTCGGCTGGGTTAGCAGAGGTTCAGGTAGCTGCCAACACCATTTCCGTTACCTACCCACCACTGTTCGCTCAGGCACCTTGTCCGGTGGCGGCAGAGGGCACAGCTAACAGTGCACATTGTGTGTCTACTCTTTCTTCTTGCTGCCAGAGTCACTGGGAGGACTCTTCTGGAGGAGGGGGGGATCTATGGAGGAAACATTCTCTCCCTCGCTCCTTATTCTTCCTGGCCAATGAAAGAGACATTTCCAGTCTGTCTGAGGTAAGAGGAAGAAATGTTTTTTATTGCTGTGGCCCCCTCCCACAGAAGGAGGAGCGGTGTTTGCCTGTTTGGCGTGATGGCCTGCTGTCAGGTGGACTTACTGTGCGAGAGGGTGTGTGCACCCGCGGCCTCACTCACTTTGTCTCTGCTTGTGGGGCCTTCTACATTCAAAGGGGATGAGGCCAGAAGAGGGAATTCAGGAGAGAAGACACTTCCATGGTTGGGGTCAAGCAGGCAGAACTCAGCTGGGTTTTTATTACAATTCTCTAGAAATAGAGATTAGCTGCCATTAGAAAAGATGAAGACCTTTCAGATGCCCAAGAAGACTGGAAAGTAGTATGAATTAAGGAGAAAAGAGGTAACAGCCTTCCCTCGGAGTACGAAAGTAGCTTTCAATTTCTCCTTTAGACCTCAAAATGATAAGGTAAGTAGGTTTTTTTGCAGAGTGGATCAATCATGATCATCAAGTTCTAAAAAAGTCTCTGTGAATATAGAAGGGTTGAGGCATAGCTTGTATTTTAGGAATCATTAAGGAGGTTATATCGTGTAGGCATGACCCATGATTAAGTCAGTCTCTGCCCCTCCCCAGAGGATGGGAAGTGGGCCTGAAAGCTCCAAGTTTCTAATCATGGCTTGGTCTTCTGGTGACCAGTCCTCATTCAGGAGCTCAGCAAGGGTTGCTTCATTAGAACAGAAGATGCTCCTATAACCCAAGAAATTCTCAGGAGAGCTGTGTATAATACTCCCATCACCCCCGCTACTTAATAAATTACTTTAAACATTTAGGAGCTCTGTGTCAGGAATCAGGGCCAAAGACCAAGTGTTGGGTAAGAAGATACTCCTAGGACCTCTATCACTCGGGAGATTAAAAGGGCATTGGGAGCTCTATTTCAGAAACTTAGGTCAAAAACCCAGTATTGGCAGGAACCAGGGGCAGAGAGCAATATATTCTCAGTAGCTGATACCCATTCCCACTCTGAGAGCTTTGTATAGGTTGTTCCCTCTGCATCAAATGATATTCTCACTCTTGACCTTCCACCCCTTTCTCCTGGCTAATTCCTGCTTGTTTTTCCTCAAAGACCCCTTTAGACTGGGTTAGATGCTTCAATTATGTCCTGCTATACAGATATAAATATATATATATAAATATATATATAAATATATATATATATATATATATATATATATATATATATATATATATATATATAATATTGAAATGACTACTATTCACATCTATTTTTCCACCAAAACATAAACTCTGGCAAAGAGACATGTGTTTTATTTTCATGTGTCTTTAGTACCTGGCACAGTGACTGGCACATAGTAGGCATTCTACAAAGGCTTAATGGAGGAACTATCAAAATACTAGATTTATGGGAGTGGTACTGGTAGCCATGAATCGCACATAGATTTTCTACTTGTCTGTTATGTTCTGTAATCTGTATGTGATTTCAATAGCATTTGCTAGGGGACCACACTTTGAGAAGCGAAGCTGAGAAGGATAGAAGCGAAATGAAGCCGAAGAGTCCCCATTCCTCCAGACCTGCCTGTTTTTTTTCCCTTCAGATCCTGGGGTTCTTCTTCCTCCCCTAATCAAAATTCATTTCTTGGAAAGCATTCACACTCCTGGGTTAAATGGCAGATAAGTTAATGACCATGTTATTTGTTCAATACTGTTCGAATTTTTTTTAACAAGGAACAAAGCCTCTGATTGTTTTGAACCAAAGGAGCAGCACTCTAATTATGTGCCGTCAGGTTCAAGAAGCTGGTAAGGAAACCGGGACCACACATATAGGTGACCTGAGACTTGACTTAGAAGTGCAGCCCCAGAACTGTGTCCAGCACAGGGTAAGCGTGCAGACGCATTTCTTCAATCGGTAAAGTCAGAGGAGTCTAGACATCCTTCAGTGAAAAGAAAGTATACAAATTGTATTGCACAGAAAATACATGCCATTGTGGGCCTTCTAGAATTGTCCATGAGACTCATTAAAGAAACTTAAAACACAGATACATACACACATCCTACCTAAAGAGTACTTGCTCCCACTCCCTGTGGGGGTGGGGGTGGGGGGGTGGAGAACAAAACTAAAAATAAAATATTGTTAAAATAGATGTCACTGTGGCTAAAAATGTGCACATTTGGCAAATGATTTACTTTATTATCTAGGCAGAAATAAGCATAGAGAACTCACTTTGAAAACGCCGTTGACTGTTGGAAGCTTGGAATAAAAAGTAAGAAGTATGAACTTTTTAATGCCCAATTTCTTGCATTCTTCTGCCATTAAGAAAGATTCTATCCTTTTAATATGTACAGATTTACAGTCTCTAATTTTTGGAAACTTTTCTTGAAGCTGTTGGTGCTTCTGAAAATGGGTGGTCTGGAGCAGTCTGTGGGGAAGACCCGCATCGTGGAGGATGAGAGTCATCACGGCCTTCGCAGAGCACAGAAAGGACAGCATGCCATGTCCTTGGGCATTTGTCCCTTCCATGAGGACACTGTCATTCCTTACGGTGAGGTTACCTCATGAGCCACCAAGCAGTTCTGGCAAGGCTCACACCATGACTCCAATGTCCCATCAAGGTCAGATACGCTCTACTTGGCTGACTTCCTGTTGGCTTTGTGTTGGCATCACTCTTCCCGTCTTTCACACACGCCTCCATGTATGGAACGTGGCCTGACATCACTGTTGCCGAGTTTGAGAACGCTTCCAGGGAAGCTCGGATTTGCTCTTACTTTCTCGTCCAAGAAATACATTAAAGTATTGGGAAAAGAATTCTAGCAACTCCACCACTAGTTGGCAACTTTTGCATTTCTTAAGAATAGTCTTCAACTTAGTTGGAATCATATTTCTTGTGTGGGAATGGATTTAAGACAAAAAAATATATTGAACATTTGGGCATGGGCCTTGATTTTTCAACATACATCTTTCATGTGTTAAGACTGATGATGCATATCCTCCTCCACCCCTGGGATCTTCCTTTTCTTAAGCATTAAATTGCCCGCTCGGATGTATAAAGTATCCACTACCTTGAATGGATGTGCTCATTAGCAATGGCAAAATTTATGGACATACATGGAGAAGGAAAGGAAGAGTAAAATCCCATTTTATTTAGGTATTTTATGTTTACAAAAAGTAAAAAAAATGAAGATAAAGTGACTTTCTTTAAGTGACAATTTAGGAATGAAAGGCATGCGTGCACTAAGTAGAAGAAGAAAAGCTGTCTTATTCATGGCTCTCCAGCAGATGCTCCACACCAATCGTTCTTAAGCCCTGCTATCCACAAGCTCCTGATTTCAAGCTCCATGGTCAGCCTTTGCCCTTACACAGGCCTCTCTCACATGCCTCCATCCACCTCTAACCCAGTTCACCTTGTAGGCCAATACCACCAAATAGTTCTTTAAACCGGCCAACTCTAGTAACTGCTTATAAGCTCTTGTGATATTTCCGTTCCCTACTTAGTGGTTCTCAAAGCATATTTACTGTGTCAGCAGCAACAGCATCCCCTCTATAGTTGCTAAGAGATCAAGAAGAAGGGCGATGAATCATTTAAAAATTATAGTAGTCTTGTTAATAATTTCCTTTTGGGATATTCTACCAGGAATAGTACTGTTCTCCATTAAGGGGCATTTAGAGGAGTATTTACTGTTGTATTCTTCTGAGTCTTGTATAGTGTCCTCTCCTGTTTTCAGTGCATAGTGAGTGCTCAATAAACACTAGTTGAATAAGCATCAGCCATATGGCAGTTGGGAGGTTTCTTCCATGGCTTTCAGAAGACAGGGTAGAGAAGGAAAGGAGGTGGATGAAACAAATAATGCAGAATGACTAGAAGGTCTATGGGGTTGGGTGTGGCATGTGGTGAAGACATTAAGGGCACTGGCGGGAGCTTTATTGACACAATGCTTCATGAGGGTGGGACTGGGTAGGATTTGAGAGGTGGCTCATGCCACAGTGAGGAAACGATGTGGGGTGAGGCCATGGGAGTGGGGTGTTTATGGGGAGCATTAGGGTTGAGGTAGAGCTGGGTCGTGACCTTGGCAAGTGCAAATGTGCTTCTGGCCTGAAAGTTCTACTTCTCAGTGCATTCCTCACAATCCAGTGGGAACCTCCCATCATCAAGAAGAAGGAAGAAGAGAAGACCTTCAATAACAAATAGATTGTACTTGAAAAGCAGATTTCTGCATGGGGAAAGGGAACAGATATTAAAATGAGGTTTTTAATGATTATGCTGACATTAAATTCTTACAGTCACTTTTACTTTAAACTAGTTGAAATGGGATGTGCAGCTCTCATAGCTTTGGTACTCTTATTATCTTGGTTTCAAAAGCAGGGACCATACCCAAATTATTTTTGCATGCTCTGGGCCTGGGTATGGTCCAGCAGCTGGCACTGACCTGAAAACAGGTCTTGCATTCATTTATTTTCCTAATAATTAGAACCTAGAACCTATTCCCACTGACAACCTAATCAGTTACATTGACGTGCCTGTTTTCTTGAGCTACTCAAGAGTTCCACTTTCTATTTTGCAGATATTCCATTTAGATAATAGCAGGCAAGGCAAAAAAAGGTTTGTATTGTTTTGGAAACTTCACAACCAAGGAACACCCACAGGTACAAGAAGATGCATTAAGAACTAGAACTGGTATCTGCTGGGATAATCACATCACTATACCAAGTAGGACATGAACATCTCTGTGGAAAACACTGAACAAAGGCAAAATATATATTATTCCTGCTCTCAAAGAGTTTATGTCAGAAAGAAAATGATCGGAATGACACAAATAGCTGAAAGAGAAAGCAGAGTATGGAGGAGCCAGACCGAAGATGCAAAGGCAATGGCAATACAGCAGAGAGAAACTATCTGTGGGGCATAAAGAGCCTTCATTCATTATAATGCTGTAAGTAAGCAACTTTTATAAACTTCATATCCTATATATCTTATATTAATTCATGATAAATTTGTACAAAAATATGCTATTAAATCATATAGAGAAAAGTTAGTTCATCGAATGCCACAGCAATTTCAGAGAATATAGCTAATATTATTATGTGAAATTAATAGCTGGAAATCAAGAAGCAATATAACAGTTGAAAAAGGAGTTATTAAAGTTAGTGATAAATAATGTCACTATTGGATATTAATGTGGAGAAAAATAATTCAGTCATGCCTCATTCTTAAAATTTCATTAAATTCCAAATGAATTAGTGGGTTAAATGGTGTCAAAATTAAAAGAAAGCCAAAGAGTGCATCCCTTTCACCTGTGAAAAAGAGTTATATGTCTGTTAAATTACACATCTTACATAATTTAATGGAATAAATCTAAGAAATATGACACATTTCTCTCAGAATGAGAAAATTATAGGATCAACATCTAATAGAAACTTACTACTAAAAATAAAGAAATGATGTATTTATAAAGTCAGTATTCAAAATGCAGTGGCTTAAGGTGATGACCACCCCTTTAGCACATGAGTCCCTGGATTGGGAATTTGCCTGGCTCAGCGGTCCTCCTGCTGTTCTCTGCCAGCTTATTCAGGCATCAGGGGCCCATTAGGTGGTCCTGCCTCTGTGGGCCAGTTAGCTGCTGGCTGGAGGACTGGGGGTGCCTGCTCTCACCATCTTTAAGTCTAGTCAAGGTTTGTTCATGTGTGGCAGGAAGGTTCCAAGTGCAACTGGAGGGCAAACCACCATGTACAAGTGCTTTTCTTGTGTCTACTTGCATCATATTGGCTACTGTTCCATGGCCAAAAGAGTCACATGGTCAATCTCAGAGTCCTCATGGGAGGAGGGGCACTACCAATGTGAAATCAGGGAATTGGTGGGCTTGTGGCTATTCGTGCCCTGCATCAATAATTGGCAAAAGAAACTTACGGCTTAACCACAAAGAATAGATCACATCTGGAAACTTTTTTTATCAGTACCAGTGATTAGAGAAATGCACGTCAATGTTGGCTTCAAAGATCATGTGGGAGATGACTTCCCAGCCTGCTGACTGAGCAAGGTCTCCAATGCCAAGTCCAGCAGTTAAAGGCAAACCTGGGTTCACTCTGCCATTTCCTTGTGGTGTCTTGTGTAATATCCCTAAGCCTCAGATTCATCTCTATAAAATCAGAAAAATAATATCTACTGAACCTCAAAGATTATGAGGATTAAATGAGATCATGTGAAAATATTCTACAAAGGTCCTGCTCAGTTTATGCTTCTTCCCTCCCATTTCTAAGATACGATCTTCTAAAACCAGCAAGTAAACAGATAAAATGTAGTGACCAAGAAAAAACTACCATATTTGTGTACAACTGGTGGCTATTCACACAGTTATGAATTCAGCAGTTATTGAGCATCCCTTCTGGGTGCAATGTTGTGCTGAGCACTGGGAATACAGTGATAAACAGAAAGAGGCAGATTCCTTCCCTCATGGAGCTTCTAGTTTAAAGGCAGAGATGGACAATAACCAAATCATCACATCAATGCACATAAAATTGCAGCCTTAATTAGCGCTATATGGGACTCTTGATTGATGCTAGTAGAAAAGCATGTAACAGGAAGATGTAACCCAGGTAGGAGTGGGAGGGGCCCAGGGAATCTCCCAGAGAAGGGAATGAGCTGCGGTATGAAGGGAGAATGACTCTGATCTAGACTGGGGCAGGGTTACGTGGGAGGGTCAGACCACACGGCTCCTGTAGGGAATGACAAGGAGATTGTCTTAACCTTTCAACCAATGTGAATTATGGGAAGACTGACCAATGTTGGGATCTGGGAAGCTTTCTCTGGGATCAGGGTAGAGAACAGATTGGAGGGGAGAAAGAGTGGCTGCAGGTAGGCACTTTCGGAGACTGTCACAGAAGTCTTGTCATGTACAAATCAGTTAAATTTTCCATAAAGGAATTACCGTATTTTTGGACTATAGGACTATAAGACACATTTTTTTTACCACATTTTTTACTTCAAAATTTCCCCCCTATTTTCCTCCTCTAAAATCTAGGTGTGGGCCCCAGATGCACCTAGGTTTTAGAGGAAAACAGGGGAGGAAATTTTGGCAAAGAAATGTGGTAAGAAACTGCATCTTATAGTTCAAAAAATACGGTATAGGCCTATGAATTCTACTTTGGCAAGCTGTGAGGAAATATACCCTCAAATACTTGTATCATTGAAATAAGCCAGGTGGTAAGAGAAAAAAATACCATATGATCTCACCTATAAGTGGAACAAACAAGTGAGCAAAATAGAACCAGAGACATGGAAATAAAGAACAAACTGACAGTGACCAGAGAGGAGGGGAGGGGACAACTGGGGAAAGAAAGGGGAGGGTCAAGCCAAGGAACAGGTATAAAGGACTCATGGACAAGGACGATGGTGGGGGTGGTGAGGATTGAAAATGGATGGTGGGGGGGTGGGTAGGGCAGGGTAATGGGGGGAGGAAATGAGGGCAACTGTAATTGAACAATTAAAAAATTTTAAGTGACTGGTGATTAACATTAGACTGATACCAATACATTTCAGAATGAACGCTGTTGACTGAATGGGTTTTAGATAGCTAAGTCCGTCTTAACATCCATGTATATCTGTAACAACCAACGGGCCATATTTATTTTGTTATTATCAATTTAAAAAATTCATGTACCCCAGCCAGGTGTTCCCAGTCGAATGTTACATCGCACGAGACTAAGTGAGCTGCACCATTTCAACACGATCCCACACAGCGACTGAGTACAGCAAGAGAGCGTCGATGCTGTGAAGCCATCGGTTGTAAAACAGGTGAGTATAAATTATTGGCAGCACCCTTATTGCTGTGGAAAAGTCGTGAACAGAGTTCAGAAGTAAAATTGCAGTTTCCCCTCTGACTTGGGTCCTTGGTTTTAAAGACATGGCAGAGACACCCAAGTTGAACAGCAGTGTTGGGTATCAGGTCCACTTATTTTCCAGGGAAGGGCTTCAATCACACATGCTCCCCAAAGAAAGCTGCAAGGCCGTGCTTCCTGTGCCATGCAATTGTGCTCGATCTGCTAATCAGGCTCTTAGAAATAAGGCAACACACAAATCTTCAGTCCACGTGCCCAACTTTAGCATCACCACGTACCAGGTTTCGGGGGTACTTTATAATACCTTTTCCTGCACTAGCACAATGCCTGTGGAAAGTGATTGCATTTAGAATAGTTTTGCTTCATAAAAAAATGGAGGAAGGTAGAGGTAGAGCTGTTAAAACATTCAGATATTTCAAAAGCAATTTGTAAAATATTGGTGAAATTGGTGACCAAAATAAAATTTCATGTCGTTGCTGAATCTCCTAGAATAAATTGAAACCTTTCCAGAGTAAAACTACAACTTCAGAAAGAAGAAAATTTTGGAGGTTCTTGGATATAACATAAATTAACTAATTTAATGTGCAACCTTAAACTATGGGAACGAGGATGGATATTGGCCAAGATGGATCTGGTTCAAATCCCTTCCTTTGGTTGGGCAAATCCCATTGCCCGTCGGAATTTCACTTCCTTCCTGGCAAAAACAAGGATGAAAGTAACTACCATTCAGGGTCAATGAGAAGTGACCTGAGATACTATATAAGCAAGTACCTAAAGAGCTTTCTTTTAGAACATGAGTTCCTTCCGTAATGCTTCTTTGTCTCTTTCACAGACTTGAATGAGCTCCTTAGTTCATACTTTCTTTCCTTCCCACCTTGCATGCTTGGTGATGATGACTTTCCAAACAACATTAGAAGTTTGACCCCCTTATCAGTAAAAATGTGTACAGAGGTCTGGAAAGTCAGAGCTACTACAGATAAAGCTTGGATGTGGGCTTCACCTTGGTTACAGTTATTTGAAGATACCATTAGCTGAATTCATCTTACTCAAATTCCTAACTAAGCAAAGCTTCTTACTTCATGTTCATCTAACCCTTCTATCTGTGCCAATAATCAGTAGACCAGAAATACACTGAGTATTGTCAGAAAAAAATTGCGAAGGGCTAAGTAGTGGACTACAAACATTTCAGGGCACCCACGATGGAACATCTCGACACTGTCTAGAGCACTACTCAGGGTAACCTCTGCCTTTCATTGTCTTGGATGTTTTACAATTTTGTACATTGTGGAAAATAAGTAATAATCCAAATGACTCTTGTCCATAGAAATACAAATGAACAATGTTCAGTGGAATACAAGTGATGAATTTTGCATGTTTTTATAAATTCATTTCAATATACCTTGTTACCTATATGTAGGGGTTTCTTTGAATTCTTATTTGAACTGGTTGTGGCATCTAATTGGGTCCCTCATTAATTAATGCATTAAAGAAAATCTTGGACTTGTACTCATTTTATATAAAGTCTTGATTTTATGTTTTTAAAAAATTATTCTTTTTCAGTGTCTGTTATTGGGTGGCCCTAGCACTGGACTGGAGGCGGGGGCAATAGGCCAACCTGACAGACATGAAATGCTTGCAAACTAAACGTGAAAGAACCGAGCAAGACGTAGAAATTGTAATAGTGACTTCAGATTGAGAGGAGGAGATCAGGGTTGAAGCAGTTTCAGAGAAAAGCTATAATCTCAGAGCTTGGACAGCCCCGAGGAGATGGAGACACAACTTGCTTTGAGGGGTAAGACACAACCTGAGATAAGACATGATGGGCATGGGCATGGCCTGTTCAGAGAGATCTGTGCTTTGACGAGGCTGGATAAGAAAAATAACATTCAAGGCTCAATTTTATTTGGCATCCCCAAGATAACAGGCAATAGGTGGTACAGGGTCTCAAACCTGAGTGCCCATTGACTCAACAGTGGCAACATAAAAATGCTGGTGTCCGGGCCTCCTTGTTAGAAATTGTGATGTAATTGGTCTGAGGAGGCAGGGAAACATTCCCCAGGCGACTCTAGAATGAAACCAAGTTAGTGACCTAGTGTGCTATGCAAGTTACATGTACTTGTTGATTTAATTTAACCCTCCTAGTAACCTCATGAGGGAAGTATTTTCATCCTTGGTTTACAGAGGAAGAGACAAGAGACTCAGAGAGACTAAATGATTTGCCCAGAGGTGCTTCTGTAACTCGTGGCCAAAAGAATGAGGGAAAGTTGTCAATTATGAATGGGCAGTTTGTGGATAGTTTTTAATGCTACTCTTACACGGTATAATTATGAATATAGTGCTCACTCACTCACCATATACTTACCAAGAATCTACTATGTGCCAGGCTCTGTTTTAGGGATTGGGAATCAATGTGGCCACCAAAACAAAGTTTCTACCATCATTCTGACAAATGGAGAGAAAGCCGGTCATCTCAGAGAGGAAGCCCCAGGGCTGAGAGGAGGGGAAATGCAAGAGGGACGTGGCATTCCTCTTGGGTGCTGAGGAAATGCTAATAAAAGCCAACAGGACCATGATGCCATACACCTGAAAGTAATAATCCTGTGGAGAACTATAATCTAGTTACAGATCCTTGTTATTAGTGTCAGTGATAATTATACCATATATTTGTGATGTTTTTTACACTCCTCAGAGGGATTTCACATACATGATTTCATTCAATATGCTCCACAAGTGGGAGGCTAGGCAGGTATAATGGCTTTTGAAGAAAGACAGGTGAGGATTGCCCCGAATCACATGGCTGGTACATGGTAGGGCCAGAATTAGAATCCAAGTTTTCTATTTCTAACCCAGTGCTCTGCACTTGGCCCATCTGATACTGCACCAAGGTTCTAACAATGATTGTAATAATCTACAGTGATCTTGCCAAATATAGTACTCAGAAATTAGAAGGTGCAGGGCGAGGAAACCGGGGCAAAACCCAGAGAAGGAAGCCTGTTCTAATTGTGTTTTCTTCCCTTTACATATTTTTCCAGTTTTGTCCAGCTGACGTCTGTATAACTGACACACGACGTTGTGTAAGTCTATGGTGAACAGCATGTTGATTTGATACATGCGTATATTGTAAAATGATTGTCACATGGCACCTCCATCGTGTCACATGATTGCCCTTTTATTTTTGTTTTTTGGTGTGGTGAAAACATTCAAGATCTATTCTCTTAGCAGCTTTAAAGTATAAAACACAGTATTATCAACTATAATCCCCATGGTGCACATTGGACCCCCAGAACTTATTTGTCTTTTAATTGGAAGTTTATTCTTTTGACCAACATCTCCCCAATATCCCACCCCCCCGCCACACCGCCTGGTAATAATCATCATTCTATCTTCTGTGTTTTGGAGTTTGGTTTATAGATTTCACATACAAATGAGATCATTCCCTTTGTTGCTCTGACTTATTCATTTAGCATAATACCCTCTAGGTCCATCCAGGTTGTGACAAGTGGCAGACTTCCTTCTTTGTTGTGGTTGAATGACATGCGTGTACGTATCTTCCTTTTCCATGCATCCGTTGACAGGCACTTAGGTGGTTCCCCGATCTTTTACCTTCCCTTGAAATACCTTTGAGGGATTGACAGAAGCAGAGCCTCAGAATGATAATTCTCTTTATCGAGTTTTCCATGGTGTTGAATCAGAAGTGTTCTTTTTGAAAACTAGATATTATCCAACTGGGAAAGAGAAGGATCAGTATCCAGAGGGCTAATTCCCAAGTTAATTCCCTTTCCACACCTTGGTTCTATGCCCGCCTCCCCGCTGCAGGCAGGTTGCCGGGGTTTCTGGAGGAAATCTAAGCTCCTCTCTGGTACCCCTCCAGTCTCTTCCCACCTGCGCTCCTGGCACTAGAGAGCATGTATTTCTTCCCTGTTCCTCTTTCATCCTTGATGATCTATTGTAAACAGAAGATACTTCAGCACCAAAAATAAACAAATAAATAAAAGAAGCAAAGTTTATCATCTCCACAAAAGGTTGTGGACCCTGACATGCTGTGAACATGCTAGGCAGGGCAAACAAACAGATAGAAGACACTTTTTAAAAGCCAACTAGCATGGTGTACTATTTAGCTAGTGTGTGATTTTCTACAGTTTGCAACCCATCTGTGTTTTGGAACCTGATAAGGCCCGGACATGTAGGATTATCCCTGTTCTTCCAAAGTTCAGTTTGTTTTTTGCATCTAATTATCCACAAAATCCACAAAGATCCACATGACTTGAGGCCAACCATATTCACCCTATTTACTCAATTTCATTGGTTCTGGACTCTAGTTGGTGTGTTGGTTGGGTCACTGAGTAGCAGATGCCGAGATGGCTTTGGAAGTAGAAGAGACTTATAGGGCAAAGTCCTTGTGAAAGATGAAAGGAAGAGGAAGTTGGAGAAGGCAAAGGGGACCTTCAGACCATGACGTGGGGCTTGACACCTGTTAAAGAGAGAGGGGAGAAGAGGGATTGGGTAGGAAGAACCTCGGACTGTGGTGCAGGTCCTAGAAGGTTGCTCAGAGAAGAGCCCTGCCTGGGTACAGTGGTGAGTCCTGCTCAACCAATTCCGTACTCAGTCATTAGGGGATGTCTAGGTAGCTTCTAGTCTCAGCTTGAATACTGAGTCAAATTCTGAAGGCACCAACAGCCAGAGAAAGAATGTCAGCAGTTTCTTTCCTGAAAGCAGATCTCAGTGGGCGCACTGCCCCAGCTGCCACAGCTCAGCGGAAGGAGCAGATGGCCACAGAAAGCTAGGCGCCTACCTGTGTATGTGAGAGGCCAGCTCTAGCCAATGGGCTCGTGCCATCTGACAGGAACAAGACAGAGATTCATGCATCCATCCATGCATCCAGAGATCCACTCGTTTATTGCCTTAGCAGCAGCCATCTCTGGAGCTTCTGTCAGAACAAAAACCTGTCCTTGGTGTTGCCTGATACACCAAATCAAGATTTTGACTGCTTTGAGCTGTAATCTCTGAGTGACGATCAGCCCATATCTCCACCCAATCTGCTTCCATCCCTGCTTGTTATCCTAAGTCAATCTGTTATGCATCTGAGACCAAGTTTTTCACCACACCCTAATTTCTGCCTGCCTGACACATCTCTTTCTTGAGTTCTATTGGCACTTTGCTCCCCTAGAAGGACTATAATTCATGTCCCAGCTTTTTGACTTGGTGTTCCAGGTATAAAGGTACATGGCAAGTGATGAAGTTTACCGCAATGTCCTTGGGTTCAGGGTCAATGAGACCAGCTAAGGAGTAGCAGAGATGGTGAGCTGGTTTGGCTGTGTGCCTTCCAACTCTGAAGTCCCTGAAACTGTTTAGTTTCAAAATGACCCTGGCTTTTGGTAATGTTTCATAGCAGCCTCTCTCCAACTAATATGGCAGATGGCCATTAGAAATCATGGGCATCATTTTGAGAGCACATTATTTTGGAAGATAAAGATGGTGGAATTGTCTAGGGCTTGGCAGGTAATTAAAAGAGGTTGATTTTTCAAACAAATATTCCTGCCAATTAGAATTTAATCTTCCTCTAAATCAGCAGTCTCTAAGGCCCATTTATTTCTTTCATCCTATTACCTACTCTATCAAAAAAACATGGGTCTCACCTTAATAGGAACCAATTCTCTTTTTTCCCCTAGAACAATATTTACATTTTGGCAAGCCTTCTCCCATGTGGTTTAAAGAACCACATGTGTTTGCGGCATTCTCTCAAGTAGTTGAGAGAACATAAAACTTGCAGTAATATTTTGGGGAGTAAATTTTATTGTTATGGCTTTAAAACACAATCAAATAAAAACAAGAATTCCATTAGTAGTTGAATATTGTAATAATAGAGTTGAGAATAAATTTTACCACTATAGGAACTATAAAACAGCAATAATAAAAAACACTATTATTGTGAATAAGTTGTGTTGAAATGACTAACTAGAAAGCTATAAAACACAATGATAAGGAATAATCTAATCACCAGGAAAGATGTGATAATAATTCACCCTTGTTAGTGAGGAGCTTATGGTTCCAGTTCCTTGGCCCCGAGTTCTCTAGGTTACTTACTGCCTGCATTCCATAAGGTTGTGGAAAGATAGTCTTTGGACAGTGGGCTGGCAGGAGACCATGTGTTATAGTGAAATTGGACATGGCAAATGAGGAATATCCAATTATCAGTGACTGTTAGAAAAATCCTGTATCGCAATGCCGAATGTCCTCACAACATATTTTAAAAATTATTTGCAGCTACTAACAATTCATATGTATTATTTGACTGTGCATTTTCACATATTTATTTTTATTTATGTTCTTTTTCTTCAGAATAGCTACATGGGATTACGTATCTGTTGCGAGGGAAGCCTCTTGTAATCTTGCTTTTTATTCAAACTACCCATTGCTTTTCAGCCTTTTGGCTAAGGTCAAGTGTAGTATCTGTTCTTATCAGTTTAAACTATCCATACACCCCTCTGCTCTGAATCTATCTTGGCCCCATTTCAATGAACAGGAGAATGAATCCACCCTCAACTCCTGTGTTCCATTCATCTTCCACGGAGCCCTTGGCTCCACTAAACTCCTTGCTTCAGAGTTAAGAATACCGAGGTGGCTGCTCTGTCCCAAAACTTGAGTAAAAGGAAGAGTGTGGTGGGTCTCGCATCTTACCCTGTTCTGAACATCATCATAATTCAAATTCAAGATTTCCGAATGAGAGTACCCCAAGGGAACAATGGGTGACCATCCTGATGCAGTTCCCTTTAAAATGTCATTCACTTATGCCAGTGAAGTCTCCTACCCTCACTGCCTCCGCTCTCTCACTTCCCTTTCCTTCATTAACCAACTCCAGTGAGGCTTGGGTCCCTGCCACACGCATGCTGACATCAGCTGCTGTTTTCAAGGTCTCCGGGGACCTCTGTACTGTCGCTGGGTGAGATTGCCAGTTATCAGTCATCTGACTCAGCTTCGAGTCATTACGTCCCGTTGGTAACTCTCAGTTTCTTAAAATGCTTTTCTCACTCAGCTTTTGGGGCACAGCAGCCTCTCATCTCTCCACCTTCCTCACTGGCTGCTCTTTCTCAGTTTCCATTGCCCATTCCGCTTCCACCAAGACCTCTAAATGTTAGAACGACTCCAGGGTTAGTCTGCATTCTTTCCTTCAAAATGAGCTCCCACCCTAGATAAGTTAGCTATTCGTGGCTTTGAACACGATCTCTTACATGCTGAAGTCACACATTTATGCGGCTTGCTCCCGCTTCCCTCTGAGAGCCAGCCTGCGGTTGTTGCTGTCCTCGTGACAATCCTCTGGGTGCCTAATAGGCACCTCGACCTTATCAGAGCTCAAGAGAATTCTTGACTTTTCATCCCCTTGAGCCTGCTCACCCCTCAATTTTCCCCATTGCATTAAATGTCACCACAATTCACTTAGTTTCTTGGCCCCCAAATCTAGGAGTTGTTCTCAAGTTTCCTAGTTTCCTCATACTTCATATTCATTCCATAAGCACATTCATTGTGTCTGCTTCTAAAATAAATTCTCAATGTGACCAGGTCTCAGCGTTTCACCCTGACTGCTTGGCCTGAATCTCCATCGTCTCTCCCCTGGAATGTTATCTTCCCAGCTGGTCTTTTTTTCTTTAAAAAAATATATTTATGTATTTTTAAACAGAGGGGAAGGGAAGGAGAGGGAGAGAAACATCAACGTGTGGTTGCTTCTCATGCACCTCTCACTGGGGACCTGGCCCATAACCTAGGCATGTGCTCTGACTGGGAATCAAACCCATGACCCTTTAGTTCATAGGCTGGCACTCAATCCACTGAGGCACAACAGCCAGGGCCCAGCTGGTCTTTCTGTTTCCATTCTTGTCCTTCTCTTGTCTTCTCTCTATTTAGCAGCCAGCATAATTCTTTAAAATATGAAACCGAAACCTTTTCACTGATTTCCTAGAGTAAAATCCAAAGTCCGTACTATAACCCATGGCTTCTGCAAGATCTGGTTCTTTTCTCTCTCCCTGGGTTCATCTTCCATCACTCTCTCTTGCTCCCACTCCACCGAAACACTGGCTTT